TTAAATGTGCTAAAAGTATATATCTCAAGGAACAAATTGATAATCTACCAATTATGATAAATCAATAAATAATTTTCCTAATTAATGATGTTGAATTTGAATAAAAAAAAATTATTCTTAGTCATACATCGAATTTAGTCCGTCTCAATACTTGTATGCAGATCCAAAGTTTTACCCCATTATTTATGAGTTCACAAGAATTTAATAGTATTCTCTGTACTCATATATATATTTATATATTAAAAAATAATATATATATATATATATATATATAATTGTGAACACATTTAATATAATTTGATCTTAACGTAAACAAATCAGAAACTTCAAATTTTAAACTACAATCTGTTTATACAAGTATCATGCACCAGACGAAAAATTAAGAACAATTTTTTCTTATTTTTAAAATTATTTGAAGATATTTTATTCGATTATTGATTAAATAAGCGTGATTTAATATTTCGTGGCTAAGTACTTTGGGACAGATGTACTCTATTATTATTTCCTATTCTTTCCGAATTCATTTAAACGATTGACTAAGCCGTGCTTTGATAGCTCATAATAAAGTATGCATGACACATTTATTCTATTATTATTACCTTTTATTCTCTCCGTAATTATTTATAAAATTATAGTGATTATATCATTACGGACGAGAAAGGAAAAAAGTTTTGAGTGTCAGTAAGATATGGATAAATAAAGTTAAATATAAAGTAAAGTTTATAAATAATAAATTGAAATAAAGCTAAGTTTGTGAATATACACTTTTATATGAGTCATCATAATATAGTCAATAGCAAATAAGCTAAGCTAACGGCTATAATTCCGCTTCTTCCACTCTTCACTTTCCCCCTTCATTGACATTTCTACCGGAAAACTTCAAAAGGCCGGCGAATAAATCGGATACTGTTTCAATTTTCCGACATGTAACCAAGTCATACAACCAAGCTCCGATATCCAATTCCGGGAAATGCAGGGAGGATAATTAAGAAGAAAAAAAAAAGATCCCCCTTTTTTTTTTTAATCAAATCCTTCCCTTACCATGTAGCAATATATAAGCTTTTATTCTTTGACCCATTTGCCTTTTGATTCTTTCCTACTGGTAAAGAATCCACTATCCTGTGGAAAAGCAAAAAAAAAATTTGTCCCCAGAGCCTAAGCAATCTAGTTTCTTTGCACCCTTTTGTGCGTGTGACCTGTTTGATAAAATTCCCCAAAGAATTGAATTGTTGAAGGTTTACTTAGATTCTTGATCTTTAAGCTCTGTATTTCTGAGGAGTTTTGGATCAATATTTATTTGGGTATTTCATTTATTGCAGTTTAGGATTGTAAAAGTTTGAATCTTTGGTCTTGATTGCTTTGAGTTCCTTTTATTTGTATTTTGGTTTTACCTATTTTCTGTTCTTTGTTTTCTGGGTAAGAAAGGGTAGAGTCTTTTGGTAAAAGGGGAATTACATTTCTGCATTGAGGATTTAAGATTAAGCAACCTTGTACATGGTTGATGCCCTGTTTGAGATATTTGAACACTCATATAGTCATTAAGGAGGATAGGGGTTGAAGAAAATCTTGAGGCTGGTGTGTAAAGCCTTGGATAATCATCACAATGTCTGCTGTTGATGTGGCTTTGAGTCCGGTTCAGGAAGAGTCTGTCCGGGCTACAAGACATATCTATGGCCCATTGCCGCTTTGCACAAATGAATCAATTGTAATATATATCACTGTGGCTGGTTCTGTGATTCCAATGCGCGTGTTGGAGTCTGATTCGATTGGTGAAGTGAAACTTAAGCTCCAAACTTGTAAAGGGTTTGTAGTTAAGATGCAGAAGCTAGTTTTTGGTGGCAGAGAGCTGGCAAGAAATGAATCATTGGTCAGGGACTATGGAGTCAGTAATGGGAATGTGTTGCATATGGTCTTCAAGATCTCTGATCTCCTCGTCATCACTGTTAGGACCACTTGTGGCATGGAATTTGAATTCCCTGTTGACAGGCATCAAGATATTGGGTACCTTAAACGTACCATATTGAAGAAAGGTAAAGACTTTGGTGAGGAACTTAAGGTTCAAGAGCTATTCTGTAATGGTGAGAAGCTTGAGGATCAGAAGCTCATCGATGATATTACTGCTGATGCAGTGATTCACTTGGTAGTTCAGAAATTTGCAAAGCTTCGGGCTAAGCATGCCGAGAGGGATGTTGAACTTTCTGTTGTTGCAGCTAATTGGCATGAGGAGACCCAAAGTCAGGGTGAACATGAACCATCCAGGGAGTTACAGTCCTTCTCCAAGAAGACACCTGATACAAATTTGGTGTTGGAACCTTTTGTTGTTGATCCAAATGTTGAACTTCCAGGATATATCTGGGACATGATCAACTCTGCATGTGATGGATTGACGAAAGGCAATATACCTATCCGATCATCTGAAGGGACTGGAGGAACTTATTTCATGCAGGACGGGTCTGGCAACAAGTATGTTGCCATTTTTAAGCCTATTGATGAGGAACCGCTAGCTGTGAATAACCCTCAAGGGCTACCTTTATCTACCAACGGTGAAGGGTTGAAAAGGGGAACCCGAGTTGGAGAAGGTGCATTCAGGGAGGTTGCAGCTTTCCTTCTGGACCATCCAAGGACCGGGCAACGAACATTGTCCAATTGTGAGATAGGCTTTTCCGGTGTGCCTCCCACTGTTATGGTTCAGTGCTTGCACAATACATTTCATCATCCTGATGGATTTGAGTGGTCATCTGAATATACCAAAATTGGCTCACTGCAGCTGTTTATGAAGAATGAAGGAAATTGTGAGGATATGGGTCCAGGGATATTTCCTGTTGAGGAAGTCCATAAGATTACTGTCTTTGACATAAGAACAGCAAATGCTGATAGGCATGCTGGGAATATTCTTGTGAGCAGGGAAGGGAAAGAAGGACGAATCGTGCTTACACCAATTGACCATGGCTACTGCTTGCCTGAGAATGTAAGTTATGATTGTGTTATTCCTTTCAATGTTGTTTGACAATGATCAGAAATGCTACGAACTTATGATCTTCCTTGTGAGTAATTTTCCATTTGCACTAACTTGATTATAGAGTGTGGGAAGTTCTTAGAACCCTAAGGTACAACTGCACAACTCCATTTCTATGCCTTGTGGATTCTTCTAATGTTTCAGTTATGATTTCCCTGATGTGGAGAAACTTCGAGGTGCCTAGTTTGAATGCAATAATTTGTTCCTTCCCTGCATGTATTGCTGCATATATTGCCTCTCGTATCTTTAGGTCCAGTTTCCCTCCTTTAAATTGTTGAAAGAAGTCTTTGAACTTTCTAAATATCTATGATATTTTCTATATATGTATCATAGCCCCGATTCATAATGTCCAAGAACCTCCACTGTCAAAACTGAAACTTTTATCTTTCTATTTTTTTTTTTAGCATTTATACTAATTCAACATTTACTTCCTTTCAAGATTTGCACTCACAAATTTGTTATCTGCAGTTTGAAGATTGCACCTTTGATTGGCTCTATTGGCCACAAGCCCGTAAACCTTACTCTCCAGAAACTATCAAGTATATCAAATCACTGGATGCTGAACAAGACATCGGCCTTCTTAAATTTTACGGATTGGATTTGTCTGTTGAATGTGCTCGTACTCTTCGTATCTCAACCATGCTTCTGAAGAAAGGGGTAGAGACAGGACTTACACCATTCGACATTGGAAATATGATGTGCAGGGAAACCTTGAACAAGGAATCTGTAATCGAGGAAATCATTCGTGATGCTGAAGATTCTATGCTTCCTGGCATGACTGAAGCTACATTTCTTGAAACTGTCTACAAGCTCATGGATATCAAGCTTGAGAAGCTAAAATATAAATCTTCCTAAGGATTGTAAGTATGTATCTTCAATTCTGTTGTATGTATATAGCGTTCGGTCCATATATATATATATAAATGGACTGAATGGAGATAGAAAAGGTTGATGACTGACCTTGTCCGTCTATGGTCGGAAACCTTTTTTTCCCTCTCAACTTCTGTTCATTACCAATAAGGTGGTTATTCAAATATGGAGCAGAAGTTGCAATATGCAATAAATAATAAATAAAACAAGCTGTTATTTGTAAAACAGTTGTCATGTATCCTTTCTCAATGAGTAAAGTGATACTGAATTTTATGTACAAAAGCTATCAAATGCCTTCTCTCAGTAAGCAGCACTAACACTAACTTGTGAAATTTTATGTTTACTAAAGGATTTTAGTTAGCCTTGGCGCAATGTTAAAAGTTGAGCTCATCACGCGTGGCTTGAAAAGTAAAAGTGAAAAATGAGGTAAAAGATACCTATTATAAATAGTTTTTGAAGTATAAAATTGCCTCTCTGTCTCCCATATTTGATGAAATGAATCTCCCTTTACTAAGGTAAAAGAAATCCATGACTAAAGCAATTTTTTTCTAGCATTATAAAAACTTGAGGTACAACTTTTAAATTCATTTAAAAACTTTTATTCTTCTATCTGCTTTTGAGTCCCATGTATGGACTTATCCACTTCAAAAAAGAAATAAAGTGAAAAGTAATTAAATTGTGGTCCAATGGTTGATTAAGTTAATGAATTTCATATTTAAATTTTACTAAATAGAATAATAAATACTTTTTCTTTGGATTTTTTGATAGTTCATTGGAAAATGGTTATGCTAAGTCTTCATTTGCATTAGGTCCCTTTGCATTATATAGAATTAAGTTACTAACACATGAGTAACTTAAATATTGCTTCCGTTTCAGTTTGATTGTCTTTTTTTTTTTTTAGTTCGTTTAAAAAAGAACATTTTCAAGACTTACATTTAGTATATATTTAATTTAAGATCGCGAAATTTAAAAGTCTTTTTATTTACTTATTCTTCATATCAAATCAAAACAAGACAAACAAATTAAAACAAAAACGATGCACATATTTTCCTAATTAACTTGTATGTTACTAATATCAATATAACTCAAATACTTACGCTAATACAAAATAATACATATACACTAAATTTTATCTAAATACGTATGTAATATGTTACTATAAAATTTTATCGAGATACACGTAAACTGATCCGAACAAACCATTACTCATTCCCCTCAAAGAAGTGACAAAAAGAACAGAAATTACGCAAAAAGAAAGTCCACATTTTCACACACACTCTTTATATCACTTTATTGAACCCAAAAATCAACACAAATTCCATTTTTTTTCCCCAATCACTTGTCTTTTTCTCTAAACAAAACATTTTTGTGAATTTCTTCTTCACAGAAAATAAAAATGGTTAAATCTCGTAAACCTCCAAGTGGACGTACAAATTTAGCTTCATGTATAGTTGCAACAATTTTCTTAATCTTCATCTTCATCATCATCTTCATCCTTTACTTCACTCTTTTCAAACCTAAATCCCCCATTATCACCGTTAACTCCATTCAGCTTCCCTCTTTCTCCGCCTCGAACGGCACCGTGAACTTCACATTTTCTCAATACGTCTCAATCGAAAACCCAAATCACGATGAATTTGCTCACTATGACAGTTCCCTGCAGTTACTTTATTCGGGTAATCGAATCGGGTTCATGTTTGTACCCGCCGGAAAAATTAATTCGGGTCGGACTCAGTATATGGCGGCGACGTTTTCGGTGAAGGCGTTTCCGTTAACGGTGAATGGACAACCGGAGAGTGTGGGTGGGCCGACGGTGACGGATGGGCTGAGTGGGTTTCGGGTCGGATCTAGTATGGAAGTGGAGTCGAGATTGGAAATGGCGGGTCGGGTTAGAATGCTCCATTTTTTTACACATCATGTGGAGAGTAAAGCTGAATGTAGAATTGATATTTCTGTCAGTGATGGATCTGTTACGGCTTTCCACTGTTAGTTATTTTATTTAACTAAAAAAAAATCCGCTCAAATGTAATAGCTCGCAAATTATTAGTTTTTTTAGTTTTAATTATTATTTTTTTGGTTTAGTGTATTTTTGTGTTTGGTAGTGATTTTCAGAGTAATTGTAAAAAAAATGTTTTTCTTATTATTTGCTTTATTGTTGGATATATTATTATAATTCTTTTTTTTTGTTTATTGTTGAATTTTAACGTTTGATATTTATATTATAATGTTTAATGTAATTTTGATATTTATATTATAATGTTTAATGTAATTTTATTAGTGAAGATTGTGAAGAGCATATGAAACTAACTACATCTTGTAATGGTAATGAGACTGCTTTAGAATGACTCTCGACTTTGCATTTCATATTCGTCTTTAATTTTACGTTTAGAAAGTTCCATATAAAACCTTTTTGATAAAAATGATTTGAATCTAAAATTTTAAATTAATGATGAATGAATATTTATCACTTAATTTGATTTATTAAAAAAAATCCTATTGTTAGTTTTGTTAAAAAATAATAAAGAAGACCATAGTGTCTTGAGTTTTATGATCAGCATTAGCTGGAAAGATAATCCTTGTTTCTTTCTGTTTAAAGTTAATGATTATTATTTATTGATTAATAAAAAATGCAAAACTACAATTAGAAAAGTAAAAAAGAACATGCCATAAAAATGAAGGATTTTAAGAGGAATGTGAAAGAAATATATCGAATGATTCGCGTGTAGATTAGTGATCAATAAAATAAAAATGAAATACTTTTTGTTTATTTAAATTTTGATAAACAAAATTACTCATTACTGATACAAAAATTTATATCAAATATTTTAATAAAATAAAGTAACTTAAATGAATGCAAATAAACTCGAAAAGTGGTTCTAAGTTATAAGTTATAAATTTACATACATTTAAATCATTGTATACATATTACAAAACTTATCAAATATTTAATCATGAATTAAGTTATTTTTATATTAATTTAAAAATATCATAAAAATTCATAAATTTTAAATTTTAAACTCGTTTCGATAATAGACGGCCCATGAACAGTGGCTAGTGGGTACACCACATGGATTATATGGACCAATATTTGAAATAATTGATGGTGTCCTTTTCTGCAAACATTTTTAATTTTGTATGTAGGGTTAGGTCTCTTGGGATTAGAGTTTGTAGGGAACCTCATTTTCAACCTTTTTCTCTATGTGAGTAGAAAATGAATCCAACTTAGATACCATCCAATGCTCTTTCAAAATATTTAATAGGAATAAAAAAATTTTACTAAAATGATTTAAAATAGAAAGAATTATGCATAGGAAAAAAGTCGAAGGCGGTTCAACATCGATGATATAATATACATAAAGATTGGAATGTATGTAATATCTTTATTTTTATGATTATAGTTGGTATTCTAAAGAACGAAATGAAAGCATGTGATTTTTAAGTCAGCTATCATTTTTACTTTATAAAGATAGGCATATTTCACCAAATGAATGAATTAGTACCCAACAAATGGATCCATCCATATGTGTGTGTAGATATAGTTTTTTGAATCACTTTCATTTATGCATTTAAAAGCATGGTCTATGTTGATGAGAATGATCCCATGAGACAGAAATTTTAGCCTCATTTAAAGTTTTTGACAATTTTCATCTATTTGAACTGACTTTTTAATATACTTAATTTGACGTGATATCAGAGTATCACGTGATAATATCAGTACGTCACACTCCATTTCGACTTTCACCAATTAAAATAATATTGAAATTCGAACGTGGGAGAGCTAGATATGGCCAAATCTTTTGAGTAGAGATCATAAAGTAATTTCTTACAAATTTCATGCCTTAGAATTCTTGACCTAGTTGCATTATTAAAGATGAAGCTACAAAAATAGTTTTAAGAATAATTCAATTACAAAAATGAATTTGACGACTTTAGTTGGCTGGAAAATTCATTGAACTTTCTTATTTGTTATTGTTGATAAGAAATGTCCGTTGACTTCTTAAGAATCATAATTTTTTTTTTTGAAAAAATAATTTAAAAAAATTCTTTTTCTTTCCAAAAACTCCATTGAATTGATGAGTCAAGAAAAACATTTGAAGGTACATCGCCTATTTATCATTTTCGCTTTGAAGCCAACAAGAACGAATACACATTGACTACGAGAATGTATTGAAACCCCATAAAAGGACCAAACAAATTTCATTTCTAAGAGGAGATCCGAATAAATAATTTGATATACCTATCAAATATTATTAAAAAAAACATAAATCGTTATTAAAACATTATAAAGTGGTTGGATTAATCTGAACACCAACCAAAGAACAAGTCAAATCAAGAAAAAGAATGTTTTCTATTTCACATTTAACCTAAAGACTTTTTAACACCTTTAATCCCCTTGACAAAATCTTCAATATCAATTGTTCGTTAATCCATTTGAAGGATCTCCCATTTCTATATTTTTCTTCCCTCTTTTTCTCGATAATCGTGCTATTCGAATCAGCTCACGTGCACCTCAACTAATTCGATCACAACTCAATGCCTTGGAGTCCAACAGACATTGTGGGCACTCAATTAGTGTTTTTTGGTGATCATGGAGGCTATGGATTAGAGGAATTGTTACGATCAACGGCCGGAGTTTTAGATAAGGGCGTTTTCGGGACGAGTTATAAGTCGGAGTTGCCGGAGAAAAATGCAGTAGCTGTGAAAAGATTGAAGGTTGGTTGCTTAGCTGAGGAAGAATTCATAGAAAAAATTGGTGAAGTAGGAATGATGGTTCATGAAAATTTGCTTACTCTTAGAGCTTATTGTTGGCATCAGAATGAAATTCTTCTTGTATATGATTATGTTAGAATGGGAAGCTTAGCTTTTCGTTTACATGGTATGTCTTCTTCAATCATATCTCCTCTCTATAACAACGTCGTTTGTTCTGATGTTTTTTGGTTGCTATAGCAAAATGATGGTATAAAAGTTCCCTATATAACATAACATGAACAATCGGTTCCCTAGAAAACATTTGTTGAACGTTGTTATAGAGAGTTCTGACTTTTGACTTTGATATTAACATATAGGGAATGAAGGTAGGAGCAAGGCCTCACTTACCTGGGAAGTAAGAAGTAGCATAGCATATGGGGTTGCCCGTGCAATTGAATTTCTCCATTCCCGAGGCTCGGATTTCTGCCATGGAAACATAAGATCATCCAATGTTTTCCTCACCGACTCCTTATCAGGTGTTCGCCTATCTGAGTTTTCCATTGCACGAATTCTCTCTTCTGATACAAAACTAGAGCTCGTGGCTGGTTATCGCGCACCAGAAGTGATAAATGCTCATGAAGTCTCACAAAAGTCTGATGTCTATAGCTTTGGTGTTCTGCTCTTGGAACTATTAACTGGTAAAGCTCCACTAGATGCATTTACCAAGAACAAAGGAGTAGATTTACCTAAGTGGACCCGTTCCATGTTTCAAGAGAAGCCGGTCATCGATGTTTTTGACACCCTGCTGCCTAAACATGACCAGAGTAGTGCTGAGCAAATGGTCCTTCTGTTACAGCTTGCAGTTTGCTGTACTTTTCAGTATCCAAATAAAAGACCTTCAATGGCTGCAGTCACAAAACAGATAAGGGGTACCTGCAGGTTTCATTGATGACAGCACAATATACAACACATAATAGTCGTTTTTATCTTACTAAATGTGTTTACAAATATGATAGTTTCGGATCCATCTCGTCTCCATTTCCCCCCATGTCCCTTCTTGGATGTGTGAGTGTGTGATACTTGTCTTATTTAACTACTGTTCTGTATATATTCGAAAGATCATAGAGAGTTTTCCTAATCGATTCCCCTGCCACGAGGACTCAACTGGACAAACGGTGAAAAGAATCTCAAAAGTTGTTCCCTTGAAACACGACATTAGTTCGAATACAAAAAAACAAACAAAAATAATCTCACAAGGGATACTTCTATAACAAAAATATTATCAATAATACAATGAGTAGTATATGCACAATTTCAATTCGTAACACTCAACAATAGGTAATAGGATGAGGCACAGAACTGATGGATAGATTCACCAAAACATAGAAACATGAACGAATAAAACTGGAGTCGAAGGTAACAAGAGATGACAATGCATCTGTAAAGAAACTTTAGCACTAGTAGAAGGCACAACTATTAAGCTAAGAGCACAATGTAATGTGTTGATAACTATAAATATACCCGACCAGGGATACAAAATCGACAAACATACCATCTATCGGTGTAGTGGTCTTTGTTTTATATCATCATTCATGTAAACTGGTGTTTCTTGGACTCGACAAGTAAATCAGGTTTCCACCATTGGTGAATACCATGAGCTCCTTTGAAGTCTGACGGAGGAGTCAAATTTACTGTTAAATTGGCTGATGGAATTAGGTGCAATGGCTCATCACACTCCTTCCCCATGAAATTCAAGACAAGACCACCAAGTGAGTGTTGGGTTGCTAGCTTCTCGATAACTCCTGCTCCCATTGTATCCATCTTTTCCCGGTGTTCAAAATAGCCAATGTATTCTGCGCAAATAGGATCCGATGGATTCACATATAGGCATGGTGTCCATGCAGATAATGCAACAAATGTATCTCCAGATTGATTATTCACGTTTTTATGCTTGGCAGCAAAAGCAAGTCCAGCTGTTATAACACTGGTCGCAAATCTGATCCCGTGTTTCACTTTTTGATCTTTAATTCTTTCAATTGGGGCCGACAAGAATGGCGGATTAAACAAAAATGCATCTAAAAATACACCAGTCTTTGCCATGGTTTTGCCAGCAAGCATTGCCATTGCAGCCCCTAAGGAATGACCAGTTAGCCAGATACTTGAACTTCCAAATGTTGCAACCACATGTCGAACAGCTTGAATGGCTGTCTCAAAGCGAGAAGTCTGATGAAGTCCATTCCTGAGTATGTGGATATCCAATTGTATATCTCGAGAAAATGCATCACCTTTGGTTAAGGTCCCACGGAAAGCAATGACAAATCGTTGGCTTTTATCTTTGGAACCGCCAAAATAAGATTTTGAGGGTGCAAATTTATATATAGCACCAAAAATGCAGGAATCAACATCATCAATGAGCACACGATATAACTCAAATTGGAAATGTCTCCACCATGGAGGAGCAAGAGCTTGACTTCCCTTCCGTTTTTCTT